TCTAATTTATATTTCATTTTTATGTAGAATTGAAGGTTCGAAGCAAATGAATTATTGATATGAATTATCGAAGTTTTATTAGTAATATTTACTTTTTGGTATTTGTATTTAACAACTTATTATTTATATGTTATTAAATTAGATTACGCTAATTTGTAAAAGTTAAGATTGAACTTTGTATTTGTATCTACTTTTTGTTATTAATATTAGTATCCACTTTCAGGTGTATTTATGTAGTATTATTTTAAATGTTCAAAAAATTTAATTATAGTACGGAACCGAACCGAACCGAAACCGAACGATTCCAAAATTATATTTGGAATCGACGGTTCCATTCACTAAATACCCGAAAATTTCTGGAACCGAAAAAAGCCGAACCGAACTGACCCGTGCCCACCCCTATTGGTATTGTCATAATCCGGCAAACTGTGGGATTAGACCAAAGTCATCTCTATCTTCATGATTTAACATCAACCCAAAAAACTAATTTACGTGGTTCTATTATTATTTGAACGACTCTTCATTATTTGTCCTTAAATTACAGCCTCAATCTTTGTTTTGTTTTTTCGTTTTTTTTTTTTTCCTTAAAGATTAATCTCCACGACATTCCCTAATTGATCCCTTCTATTGATGATATAAAAAATGCTTTCAATTACTGTCCATTCTTACCCAACACTCACCACGACAACTAATTTTACATATGAACTCGTGAATATTACAATTGGTTTTCTCCAACTTGGTTAATTTTAATGTGCACCACATGCTACGTTTTAATGGGTAATTAACACTTACAGGTATGCATTTGTAGGAAATCTCAAGGAAGGCTCGACAGTATGAACTTGGAGAAGGCAAATACTATTTTTTAGTGATTTGGAATGCAATTGCTTGGCAGTGTTTCTTGGGAGCAATTGGAGTCATTTTCTGATCTTCATCTCTTCTATCATAACTGTGCGCTTCTTGCGATGGCAGTTTCGGGCTTTCCGACGAGGGTGCCAGTGTAGGTTCTGTGCAGTTCCATTTCTACTACCCGTAACAGAATTATTAGCAGTTATTTTCTACCATGAAAAGTATCAAGCAGAAAAGGGCGTTTCTCTTTTCCTCTCGTTTTGGGGTTTTTTTCCTATTTCTACGGTGAGATCAAACGCAGCACCAACAAGAAGAATGTTAAGCACGATTCATGCCAAACTGAGTCGACTCCAACAGTTGCTCCTTCATCACTTCTATTTATGCAAACGACCAGGGACGAATCCAGGACCAGACTACAGGGGGCTAATACATAAAAAAAAAAAAATTACACATGAATTTTTTTTTTTACATAAAAAA